CAGCAGGTGAGGCGGCTCGGCCCGACCGTTGTGAGCTGACGGACGGCGGGCGAGGCTGGCGGCGGCCCCAGCTACCGACGCGGGCCTCCTGACACCCCGCTGTTCAAAGCCCGAGCTACCGCGCCGCTATTCTGGCAGCACGGCCATCCCGCGCACCGGCCAACATAAAGGCCCGACACACTCAGAGATTAGATAGCACTCAAAGCGTCACAACAAACGAACCCAGCCTAATTAAATGGCATACTGCGCATCAACTGAAATGACGCTACACACCATGTCTATAATCCTCAGTCAAGCTGCTTCAAAGCATTCGGCTTCAGCAGCCACGGAGCCCGAAATAGATGGGATGTGGACATTCCGCCTGGCCTCTGACTGCAATATGTCAGCGACGCGAGTATCCAGCGCCGCTCTGACTGCAATATGTCAGCGCCGCGAGTATCCAGCGCCGCGAGTGTCGCTATCGCCGTCGGAGGTCCTTCCCCAGGCCGCTTCACTGTCCCGCCACCGCCCCACCATCCCGCTGCTGTCCCACTGTCCCGCTGCTGTCCCACTGTCCCACTGCTGTCCCACTATCCCGCTGCTGTCCCACTGTCCCGCTACTGTCCTACTATCCCGCTGCTGTCCCACTGTCCCGCTGCCGCCCCACTGTCCCGCTGCTGTCCCACTACCCCGCTCCCGCCCCACTATCCTGCTGCCGCTCCACTGCCCGCTGCCGCCCCAATGTCCCACTGTCCCGCTGCCGCCCCACTGTCCCGCTGCTGTCCCACCCCGCAGTCCGTGTTCCGTTCGAGATCTCCCCGTCTCTCTCCCACCACTCGCTCTGGGAGGGACCCTGGCCGACACCGTGTCACCCGGGGAGGGACCCTGAGCCGACACCGTGTCACCCGGGGAGGGATCCTGAGCCGACACCGTGTCACCCGGGGAGGGACCCTGAGCCGACACCGTGTCACCCGGGGAGGGACCCTGGCCGACACCGTGTCACCCGGGGAGGGACCCTGAGCCGACACCGTGTCACCGGGGGAGGGATCCTAAGCTGACACCGTGTCACCCGGGGAGGGACCCTGAGCCGACACCGTGTCACCCGGGGAGGGACCCTGGCCGACACCGTGTCACCCGGGGAGGGACCCTGGCCGACACCGTGTCACCCGGGGAGGGACCCTGGCCGACACCGTGTCACCCGGGGAGGGACCCTGAGCCGACACCGTGTCACCCGGGGAGGGACCCTGGCCGACACCGTGTCACCCGGGGAGGGATCCTAAGCTGACACCGTGTCACCCGGGGAGGGACCCTGAGCCGACACCGTGTCACCCGGGGAGGGACCCTGAGCCGACACCGTGTCACCCGGGGAGGGATCCTAAGCTGACACCGTGTCACCCGGGGAGGGACCCTGAGCCGACACCGTGTCACCCGGGGAGGGACCCTGAGCCGACACCGTGTCACCCGGGGAGGGATCCTAAGCTGACACCGTGTCACCCGGGGAGGGACCCTGAGCCGACACCGTGTCACCCGGGGAGGGACCCTGAGCCGACACCGTGTCACCCGGGGAGGGATCCTAAGCTGACACCGTGTCACCCGGGGAGGGACCCTGAGCCGACACCGTGTCACCCGGGGAGGGACCCTGAGCCGACACCGTGTCACCCGGGGAGGGACCCTGAGCCGACACCGTGTCACCCGGGGAGGGACCCTGAGCCGACACCGTGTCACCCGGGGAGGGACCCTGAGCCAACACCGAACACAGGCCTCACCGGCTGCCGGTAGCGGCGCCTGGCGGCGCTCAGAGGCCCGCGCCGCACACCCCACACCCCGCACCCCGCGCCCGGCCCGCAGCGGGCCGGGCGCGGCTGCATCAACAGCCTCCAGCTGGGCAACAGCACCGGAGCGCCGAGCGACCGCGGTCGGTGCGGCGGCGGTCACAGCCCAGCGGCGGGGCTCCGTCCTGAGGCCGACGCCGCCGTGACGGCCGCGCAGTGCTGCAGGGCGCCGCTAAATGTCACACCGGCCGCGGGGTCGGCTGCGGCGCCGCCGGCGGGGCGGGCACAGTCCGTCCGTCGGACAGACGGACACCGTCCCCGCCACACGGAGACGGCGAGCGGAGACCGGCGACCGGCGGCCGGCGACCGCCCGACCTCGACACGGCCGCCGGTGCCGGGGCGCCTCCACGGCCACCGTGTCCCCGCTCGGGGAGGCCAAAACGCCGCGCTCCGCCGCCGCCGGTGGCGGGGTGCGCGTCGCGGCGGCCGACCGTTACCCCGGCCAAGGTCGGCGGGTCACCGAGGTGTTTGTGGGCGGGTGTGTGCGTGTGTGCTGCGTGCCTCAGTTCCAGAGCTCGGTCGTTTCAGCAACTCCCGCGCCGTGTCGGGGAGGGAGCGATGGGCGGCGGGGGCTGGCGGGGACAGAGTGCCCCCGCTCCGGGCCGCGGGCCCCGGTCCGGTGGGACCTCACGGCGGACAGACGGCGGCGGCTGCGGCAGCTCCGCTCGGCGGCGCGTCCGTCCGGGTCCGGCGCGGCGTGTCGCCCTGGTCGTTGACCTGTGCTCCGGTGCCGACCGGCCGCCGACCAGCAGCGGCGCGGCGGGCCCGACCGGCCGGCCGGCCACTCCACCCGGCTCCGCTCCGGCCGGCCACTCCACACGGCTCCGCTCCGGCTGGCCACTCCACCCAGCTCCGCTCCGCTCCGCTCCGGCCGGCCACTCCACACGGCTCCGCTCCGGCTGGCCACTCCACCCGGCTCCGCTCCGCTCCGCTCCGCTCCGCTCCGGCCGGTCGGCTTCCTTCCTCCGTTGCACGGCCGCCCGGTGTGACGTCAGAGTGACGTCACGGTCCGTCCGGTAACGGTGAGCCGGTCTCGGCAGTGGGTCGCGCGTGGTTGTGGTGCCGCCGCCCAGGCCCGCCCAGGGAGGAGGCGCGCCGGCCGGCGGCCGGTGAGAGAACAGATATCAAACAGATGTCGGCGGGACGACTGCCGCGCAGCGAGAGCGAAACCAAACGGTCGTGAAACATCACACAATGAAACTGACGACCGAACGACCGATGGAGCGGGCTAAACACGAGTTAACATGGAGCTATAATTCATCACCAATTCAGCTTATGAAACATCACAGCCAAGTGACTGCCGGTGGGAGATAAGAACCCTATGCTGGCAATCAGCACAAGGATTCTCCGGAAGCATCCATGTGTCAGAGCGCATATCATCTCTATTTTGGGCGCTAAGCCCAGATCACACTCGTACCTGCCCATGTTCGCGGCCCGAGCCCACCAGCGGCGGTTTCCCGTCACCCAGTCATGTGCCGCTGGCGCCGCGGCCTCGGCTGCGGCACTGTGCTGGCCGGCGGACACTGGACAGTCAGTGGGTGACACCATTTGACATCTGTACCGTTCAGGGTGCAGATGTACCCCCGACAGCGCTGCGGTGATGGACGGTGAGTGCCAGAGGCTCCACGTGCAGGCTGAGCGGAGAGCGGTCAGCCGGCGCCGGCCGTCCGCAGACCCGCTCCGCGCCACGCTCACAGGCACGCTCGACGCCACGCTCCGCGGCCCACCGGTGAAAGCCGCCGTCCGCAAAAAAGCTGCCTGTCGGGAGGCGATGGCAGCGGCAGCCGCGGTGACGGCGGCACTGCAGCGCAGACAGTTTTGTCGACTAGGTGCAGCTGTCAGCGCCAAATACGGCTCTCACGGCAGCGTCCGACACTGCCAGGGGAACCAGCGGCCCCTGTCCACTGTCGAGAGCTGACACAGCCCTCCCCACTGTCGAGAGATGCCACAGCCTTCCCCTCGCTCCCTCCCCACTAGCGAGAGCTGCCACAGCCCCTCCCTCCCTCCCTCCCCACTGTCGAGAGATGCCACAGCCCTCCCTCCCTTCCTCCCCGGCCGGACAGCCAGTCGCGGCGACCGGACGCCGCGGGCCGTCTGTGAGAAAACACGCTGGGCGCCGCGATCGCGCCGCAAAAAGGGCATCATCAGGTGGCGCGGGTCGACGACCGCAGCGCGCGCGCTTCCCGGCGGCTGGCGGCGGGTGCCGACAGGCGCTGGGCCGCTCCAGCGCCGCCCCTCCCCGCCCGTCACCTGTGGACCACCGCACGGGCCACTGAACCACATACCGACCCCCCCCCCCCCCCCCCCCACCGCAAGTCCAGGTGGCCCTGGAGACGCCCCTCCATACTCGGGGCGCCCCTTCATACCGGAGAGAGGACGCACGCGTGGCGGCATAGACGCCGCTCGCACGCGCTGGAGCACCCGCCGGTGATCGTTCCAGAACAATCGGCGGGACGGTCGTCACTGCGTAAACAGCCGGACCGAGCCCACGGCACGGCGGCACTCCCCGTGAGCTGCACACTTAACCGTAAACACAAACCCAGTCCCGGAGGTGACACCGGTCCGCGGCGGGACACCCGGTGAACTGGGGAGTGGGAGCCTGCCGTGCCGGCTCTGCCCAGAGACAGGCGCGGACGGCGCCGCTCGGAATGTTCCCAGGTCACTCCCCTCTGGTCTCGGCCCTCTGCTCACCCCCTGCCGCGCCGGCCGGCCTCCCTGAGCTGTCCTGGCTGAGCCGACAGACCGGCGATATCGACCAATAATCTCAGGGAGGAGCCGTCAGCGCGGGGCACGGACGGCAAACACAGCAGTCAGCAGGAGCACGCACCAGTTACCGCCATCACACACAGAGCGCAGAGTGCAGCGAGCGACATACGACAGACACGGCGGCACGGTGACAGGCACGAGTGAACATCATCAGGGCCCCTGTGTAACGGGCCGGCCGGGGAGCCCCGCGGCCGCAGCCCCTCGGTGTGCCGATCGCCGCCGCGGGGAGAGGGACGGGGAGCCCCACAGCACCGGCCCGACCGGAGCCGGCCGCCGAGGATGACGAAACACTCCACCAGCTGCCGGTGGCGCGCGCCGCGCCGGGGGCGGCGGGGGTGACGGCGGGCCCGTACCAGTCAACACCGCCCCGACACACCCACCACCCAGTACAGCGGTCACAGCGGCGCCCGGAGACCCACTCACCTGGAGACATAGCCCTTGAGCATGGGGTTGTTGGCTGAGTTGTACATGGCGTCGGCGGCGGTCCCAGCCGCGTCTGTCGCTGCCGCGGCCGGCTCACATCGGCACCTCGCCTCCTGCCGGCCACACGCGCCGTCACACGGGGCCCGCCGCGGCACACACACACAGACACAGACACACTGTCACAGGGCCACTGGCGGTCGGGCGGCGGCCCGTCGCGCGCCGGCCGCGCAGCACACACAGCACCACCACCTCACGCGGCGGCCTCTCACGGGCGTCTGGCGTCGGCCGGCCGCCGGACCCAGCCACGGCCGAGCCGCGCCGAGAGGGCGGCGCGAGCGGCGCGGCGCGGCGCGGCGCCACCACCGGCGCCGACAGGCACCCCACTCCACCTGAATGGAGGCCGCCTCCTCCCGCCGTCAGATCAGTCCCCATCAGTCCTCTCGGTGTGACAGCCCCTGCCCGCCCCGGATTAACTCGTCAGTAATGAGGTTCAGAGCGGATCAGGATGAGGTTCAGAGCGGTACCTGCACGGCGACTCCGGCCCATTGCCACTCTCCACGGACACCTTTTGACAGAATCTCTGGCAATTTCCTGCTTGGTAGGTGGCTTGAACCAGACCACATTTGAGATGCTCGGCTGAGTGACCTGTGTTCAGCTCGGTGTGTTAATAATGTGCAGCTGGACAAAGTATTCGTCCAGTTACTCCCAGTGTGTCAGCAGCATTCCGATGATGAGACATACGACAGACATACGGCAGTACGGCAGGCGGGACGCCAGATCGGACACCGATGTCATCAGCCACATCGCGGCGGCGACGCTCCCTGGTGCTCGGCCGGCAGGCTCATCAAGTCCCGCCCTCAGCCCACAGGCCCCGGAAATGACGGGTCCAATCGACACGGCAGAGGGTTTCCACGAGGCCGGGGGCTAGCCGGTAATTAGAAATCCATGCGTAACCTGCCTTCAAAATGTAGAGGTTTCAGGGGGCTGTAATTACCAGACCGGCAGTCCAGCCCCGCCACAACGTTGGAAGGTCACATGGGCGAATACCGAGGACCTAAAAAGCCCAAGAAGTCCAATGGCAGGGAACCAACAGGGCCTGACCTCTGAGCACACCTTCTTAGGTCGTCGGCCATCCACTGAACAGACCCCCGGCGCAACCCCCGGCCACTCAACACAGTGCAGGTGGTCGGCGGCCACCCAACACAGTCCAGGCAGTCGGCCGGCCACTGAACACAGTACAGGCGGTCGGCGGCCACTGAACATAGTGCAGGCCGACCACTCAACACAGTGCAGGCGGTCGGCGGCCACTGAACACAGTGCAGGCGGTCGGCCGGCCACTGAACACAGTGCAGGCGGTCGGCGGCCACTGAACATAGTGCATGCGGTCGGCGGCGGTCCCAGCCCCGGCAGAGGCCCAGCATTCCAGTCGGCCGGCCGGCCGGCCAGCTGCCGCCGTCCGTAGTCCGTGCGGTCGCCAGCGGCGCCGCCGGGGGGGGGGGGGGGGTGACGGCCGGCACGGGATACTGGCACAAACGGGGAACATTCATTCTGGCCAGGGTTCATAATGTCCAGGGTACGATATGCCCAGTGTCGAAATGGCCAGTGCCTTGAATAGGCCAGAGTTCATAATGTCCAGGGATTGCATGGTCCAAATGCGGCCAACTGGCTGCAGATAGGGTATATTCAAAGAGGCCAGGGTTCATAATGTCCAGGGCACGATGTGTCCAGTGTTCGAAATGGCCAGGGTTCATAATGTCCAGGACACGATGTGTCCAGTGTTCGAAATGGCCAGGGTTCATAATGTCCAGGGAACGATGTGTCCAGTGTTCAAAATGGCCAGTGCCTTGAATGGGCCAGAGTTCATAATGTCCACGGATTACATAGTCATTGAAAGTGACGTCATTATGTAAAAACACGGAACCAGCTCAATGCGAAGCAGTGCAGTGCCGAAGGCAATGCCTTAGGAGAGATTACAGGCAATAGTAAATCTAATATTTTTAGGTTAAGTGGTTATGTATCTGGCTTCAGGCCGAAGGCCTGAAGCCTGATGCATAACCACTTAACCTAAAAATATTTGATTTACTATTGCTTGCAATCTATTCATGCGAGAAACTATTTCCTTATCCCCGGTAGGCAAACATCATTACCTTAGGTTAGGTTAGGTTAGGTTAGGTTAGGTTAGGTTTGGTTTGGTTTGGTTGACTGTGTAATCCCTGGACACTATGAACTCTGGCCAATTCAAGGCACTGGCCATTTTGAACACTGGACACATCGTGCCCTGGACATTATGAACCCTGGCCATTTCGAACACTGGACACATCGTGCCCTGGACATTATGAACCCTGGCCATTTCGAGCACTGGACACATCGTGCCCTGGACATTATGAACCCTGGCCTCTTTGAATTTACCTTATCTGCAGCCAGTTGGCCACATTTGGACCATGCAAACCCTGGACAATATGAACACTGGCCAATTCAAGGCACTGGTCATTTCGAGCACTGGACACATCGTACCCTGGACATTATGAACCCTGGCCTAAATAATACGCACCCGGCACAAACCAGACCCACGGACCCTGCAGCAGCACCGCCAGGTGCTGAATGAATACGAGGCAGGCTTCAACTCAATGTGAACTGACACCGCTAATTACATGTAGGGTGTGGCGTACACACAATTTACCGGGTGTTTCCAGCAACTAGACAAAACTGGACTGGGACACACGCGATCAAACCGCCCGCCAAGGATTCTAATAGGAACCTAAATCAAAATTATAATAGTAAGCATAATGAAACATTCCTAGGCTCATTGACCTTCCGTGAAGTCAATGGCAGCTCGCTCGATATGCACTGGATATGGCAATGGACAAGTTCACCACTTAGTGAACCAGGATGGGCTTTACAACTAACGTCCATTGTTTGAGACACATTTAAAAACCAGTGTAGCATGTAGCGCCAAACAAGATCCGCATTTCATTAGCGGTAGGCATGACTTTTGTCCCGCGGAGCTAGGGACGCTCGATGAAGCCGCTAAATCAACATACGCGCGGTCAAACGACCAGTAAGCCAGGGTACACTCGGGGGCAGATTGATGTTCCACCACTCCCTACCCATCGGGCTCCCATGGCTCAGCACTGGCTGCTGCCAGTGTGGCCTGCCCTGCTGAGCAGTGCTGAGGGCAGGCAACACTGGCAGCAGCCAGTGCTGAGCCATGGGAGCCCAATAGGTAGGGAGTGGTGGAACATCAATCTGCCCCCGAGTGTACTACCGTCTACCACGGTACACAGCTCTAACCAGGACCGCAGCCCCTCTCCAGTCTCTCCCCACTCGTTTAATACACACTACACAGCTCTGACCAGGACCGCAGCCCTCTTCACCCGCCCACCCGGCCGGCCTCAGTCAGACCTTGGGCACAGCGCCGCGCCGGCCCGGTGTTCGGCATTCCGCCCCCCCCCCCCCCCTCCGGCCTCCCACTCCTGGCTACGGCGTCACAGGTGACGCGGAGCCGCCGACCGGAGCGGCCGGCCGGAGCTGCCGCTCGGAGCGTCCGACCGGAGCCGCCGACCGGAGCGGCCCGTGACCGGGGCATCTCGCTCCATCAGCCCGTCCCCGTCCCATCTGGGAGCCGGTCCGAATCCACCCAAATGAATGGCTGATCGTGGCTGTCAAAGACATCCAGTGATAGGTCAAAGACGTCTCGATAGTCACACTGGGCATATTGCAAGGTTCAACACCTAGTGTCTGGAGTCACACTCATCTGTACCACAGGTAAGATCGCGGGCCGCGGGTTTAACACCTGCCCCCCTGCGTCTCTGCTCTCCGGGCACATTCCAAGGTTCAGCACCTGAGGACACCTCGCTGTACCCGGGGTAACACCTCTCTGCACCCCAGGCGTGGCCGCGGGTTCAGCACCTGCCCTCCCTCTGCGCCTCAGGGTTCAGCGCTACATCAGCAGTCAGCACGCAGGCGCGTCTCCTGGTACCGCGCTCTGCGCACACATAGCCGAATCGCGCAGCGCCGCCCTTCTGCCAGCCTGGGGCCGATTCGGACTGATGTGCTCGCCTCCCCAGTCTGATGGGGACCCCTCCATCCAGCGCCGCTGAGCAGCGCCTCCTCAGAGCAGACCTCCCAACGCCTCCCCAGTCTGACGGGGAGGTGCCCGGCACCACCGAGCACCTACCAGTGCAGCGGGCGGCGGACGGGCGCGGTCAGCTAGCCAGTAACCACCTACCCGGCACCCACTCGGCACCGAGTCGGCACCCGCCGTCCACCCACCACGGCGCCGGCACGTGGCGTCGGCGGCCGACCGAAATAGACAACAGCCGGCGAGTCCGATCGGCCGGCCGACGGGCCGTGGCGGCCGGCCGGTCCCGCAGATACATCGGCCAGTCCCGCAGACGAGTACCGCAGACACCTCGCCCACAGACAAACAGGCACCCATTACCACAGACGAACAGATACTCAGTCCGCAGACAGCCCGCCCCGTCCCGCAGACGGTCCTGCGCTGCTGGCTCAATACTGCAGACACTCCCACCATGACCAGTGTACAGTCTGTCTTAAAAGTACCGCGCAAAGTGACGGTGGATCCATCAAGCCTGACCGAGGAAGGGCTTGCTGAATTTGAGTCATCGAAGCAATTGACATCCTCGTCCATTCCCCAGCTCAATTTTTCGGTGACTTTCAAATTCAGCAGGCCCTTCCTCGGTCAGGCTTGATGGATCCACCGTCACTTTGCGCGGTACTTTTAAGACAGAGTGTACCAGGGTGCACGACACCGACGGACCGGTGAGCCGGCCATTGGCACACCTCACCGGTGCATGGCTACCCCGCAGTGACCGCAGTGGACGCGGGTGTGGCTCCAGCAGGGGTCGCGCTCAAGGGGTCGATGATTATCGTATCACGTTCAGCCGGCACGGTGACGCTCAATGAAACCCCAGGCGAGAACAGAGCACAGGCGTAGTCGGGCCCGGCGTCCGATCAATAGGGTTCAGTGGACGTCCTCCCCCGTCCCGTCCCCGTGGCCACGCCACCCACACCGGAGGCGAGTACGGCCGGCGGAAAGGTCAGCTGTCACCAGCCGCGCACAGTGTGCCCACCGGCCAGCGCGGCGGCCCGCCCGCCCCCGGCCAGACTGCATACACAGTACACACGGCCAGCGCTGGATAGCGGATAGGTATCAGTTCAATCAACACTTCTACTTTTGAATGATAAACTTGATAGAGCAGATATGTGCCAAGAGGCGATCAAAATACAAACCTGGGCTGATGA